TCTTACATTTGGGGGGAAAGAGTGAAATGTCACAGGTGTTTTTGATGATCTAATTAAAATATGTATTTTCCCCAGGAAAATGTTGGTGTACACACAACACACAATTCTATACAAATGCCAGGGAGTTCATGGACCCACCTGATAGCCATTCAAAAACAACTAGATTTGAATACACTAAAAAATGTATTTTCCACTTGGAATGGGCAGTAAGATAGAGCAGCTTTAAATAATCTTTCCTTCAAGAATATATTTGTGGTTGGGACATATTACATTGCACAAACAGACTGTATACCTTGGGCATCCCATACTTTCTTTCCCTTTTTATAAGGTAAACTAATTTGCCATAGTGCAATCATCCCCTGCTTGCATTCATCCAAATATTTAACTACTGTTACTGCCTTTCTAAGAAAATGAGATGTGCATTTGCATTATGTTCTTGCAAAAGCAGATTGCCGTCCCGAAGTGATTGACAAGCAATACAATTACCTTTGCATGGCTAGACAGACTGCCTCTGCATTCAAATAGGGCTGCACCTGCTCAGTGCATGAGGGCAGCTCCCTTCCCTGGCGACGGGGCTGTGACTGATTTATCTGTAGCTACGTACTAGACATCAACCCCTGCCCTCCTTTCCCTCCGTATCTGATACTTTAAGTGCACCTCTTTTGTGGGGTTTTAAAAAGTATGTAATGTGTGAGTGTAAAAAAAAAATGTGCATTTTGGAAACCAGCATGAGACTGCGTGAGAACTTTCCTATAACTAGCTCCTGCTTAGAACAGGACCTGGGGAGCTGGCCATCAGTGTTGTCATGGAAATGGAAAGTAAAAGAAACCTGTGGACCACCAGCGTCAGCATCCCTGGTTACTTATTAAAAAATGCAAGTTCTCAGACCCAGCCCCGCCCAGTGCTCGCTCCCATCCAGACCTGTTGATTCAGCACCTCGGGACCGGGTGTGGGGCCCAGGCTTCTGTGTTACAACAAGCCCCCCGGAAGCCTGACCGCTGCTGCCTGCCGTCGCAGTTGGGAGTTTGGGCTGTGAAACCGGCACGACCTGGGCGGGAATCCCAGCTTAGTCAATACCTGGCTCTCTCCACTTCACTTTCTTTCTGTCTAAAGAGGCTATAATAACATTATCCATCTCATAGGGGTGTTTTGAGGATTAGGTGGGATAATGACAATTAGGTCAGACTAGGGACTGACACAGAGTAATCGCTCTCTAGAGGTGAGGAGCGGTGGTAATCGTATTTGTGCTATGACTAGTAGCTTAGGGGAAAAAAAACCACACACACACACACACAGCCTTGTGGTGAAACTCACAGCCCAGAAAGTGGCTTCGTTTCCCACTGCCAGTGAGGACAACCATATGGATTGCTAATGTTTTAGAGTTACCGTGAAGGCAGGTCACCCACCCTCTCGTTCTTCTCTCTCCAAAACGTGCAGGTGTACTTAGTGGAGACAAGCAGTGTGGTTTGTAATAGCATCTCGAATTCTCCATTTCCTTTCTTGGGGAAGCCACGACATTCAGGGCCTCTGAAACTCCTCAAAAGTAGAAATTATTCCCTGGACCCTCCGGACGTTGGACCTTGCATCGACTTCCTCCCTAACCGTGGCTCATTTTGCCTTGAAAGTTGCACCCAAGCTAGCTAAGGCCCTGGGATTTCTGGGGCATTTGCTGGGGGTCCCTCACCTCTGTTGCCAGCCCTCCTCCTTCCGTCACCGGTTCAGAGCGTCACGGTCCCCCTCCTCTGCAGCAACGGTCACGGCCGCCACCTTACATCTGCGCACCTGCTTTGTGCCTCCCTGTAGGCTCCCCGAGGGCAGACTTGGCAAGTGGACTTGCTCTCTCGGCTCCCTGAGCCTTGCCAGAGTATCGCAAGCACTTCAACAGCAGAGAAATCACTTGTACTTACCATTTGCTTTGTTTGAGCCTGTCCGTGTAAGACACCCGGTCACACTTGCCCTGGGGGTCTCTGTCTCGTAAATGTCGGATGCATCAGAGTCCCAGAGTCATTTTCCATGGTCCACAGTGGAGGGTGGAGCGTGGCAGCTGAGACTAAGGCAAACACCGGGGCCAGCTTCTGGGAGTTATTAGTCCAGAGAGGCTGGACACGGCGGCACACAGCTGGCCACGGTGCATGAGAGTTCGTCCTGGTGAAAAAAAGGGGGCCCCTTTCATGGCCGGAGCTCAGCCTCAGCCACTCCTGGCCCACACCACGTGCCCACTGGAACAGCCCCCAGCGTCTGCTCCGTTATTCACAGATGAGCAGGCGCAGATGGGGTGCCCCCTACAAGTATTTAGACAAAGGCATCTCTTTCTATATTTGAATGGATATTATATTTGGTTAAATATTAATCTATTGTTCACACCTGGATCACATTCTGTCTAGCCTCTCGCACTGGTCCCCTAAGTCAGGTTCCAATTTTTGAACTGTATCCCCCTTCCCCTCTTCCACTGACAACAGCCACTGATGCCGAATAACCAGATCCAAATTCTAACCTAGAATGGCACTGGGTCGCCTTCCATTACCTCCTTATACCCAGCCTCCCCCCTTAAGTTATGGGCAATATTCACTCAATAAATATTTATTGTACATCTTCCTGGTGAAAAGCAACGTGGTAGCTATTAAGTGGGAGAGAATGTTGAGTAAGCTATTGAGTGCAACTTTCAGGGCAAAATGAGACACATACACAAATGCATTTCACATTTGACCAGGATTTACATTTGTTTGGCCAAGTGAGGATCAGGAAACAACGTGACATTGGTATTATTTACAGGAGGGGGGAAACCCCGCTTTGGGTGGGCATTGGATAAAGCTCGTAGACGTGACATTTGATGGCAAGGACCTTGCTCATGGCTTTGCACACATTTTCTCACTAAGTCGTCCCTCGATGTGGGGACTTACTAACCTCTCCCCATTTCGCAGATGAATAAGTAAGGCTCAGACAGCATATGTCATTAGTCCCAGGGCCCAGAGCTGCTCACTGGTGCGGCTGTGACTGAGATCCCCGTGCGTTTCCCACCTCACTTGGCTTTTCTGCCTTTGGATGAGGCTGTCAGGAGACAAGGCCATCCCTGCACAAGGAACAGCAGGTGCAAAAGCAAAACGGCATGGAGGAATGGGGCCAAGCTGTTTTGATTTGGTTGAACAATCGGCTTTGGGCTCAGGCTTGTTGGCAGAGGCTGGCCCTGCCTTCTGACCCCTAACAGATACTATCTTTTTATGTTGAAAATGTTGAAAGAGAAATCAAAGCGGAGCTCCACTGCCGCACACCTCAGCATCTCGGATTAGGGTTTTACACTGCTTGACAAGTGCTCTTGTGAACCGTAGCCCTTTCGATCCAAAAGAAAACAGCTGAAAGCGGTTCCTACCAACCTCCTTAGCCAGCGAAATCCCTGCCACGTTTTTAAAGATAATGGTACTTGGGGGTTAGCCAATCAACTCTGAAAACCTCTGAGAAGCGCACTGCAGTGTTCTCCAGCAAACCAGTGTCACTGCCGTGTGCGTGTGTGCATGTGTGTGTTGTCAAGCGCCCCCCCCCACCGGCTCGCCATGTGCTTGGCTTACCTGCGGGTCCACTCTGCTTCTGAAACCTGCTGGAATCCTTCGGTAATCAAAGCCATGCTTCATAAGACCCCAGCTCCATTCAACAGTGGGGCTCATTGGTCCTTTGCCAGAATCATAAATCATCTGTAAACTCCATGGGAAGATATCAGGGAAGGTTATTAATAACAATTGCTATCCTTTGGGAAACATGCCTTTAGAAACCCACATTTTTATATTTACAATATCCTGTGATCTTCACAAAAGCCAGTGAGGTGTGCAGGCTACGTGGGAGCCTTACTTAAACCCACTTTAATGCTTAGGAATTGTAAGTCAGTTTCCCACGATCACATAGCTGTGAGCTTCTTTCTCTGGCTATTTCACTCAAGCTATATCAGGAAACTTCTGGAGAAGCCCAGGATCTTTTTCTGACCCTGTCCTGTGAAATCCCTTCTCTCTGGGATAACTGTATGCATCAGAGAGCTGCTGAGAGACCAGGCTTGTTCAAACCTAATGTGGGGTTTGGTTAGTCTGGGTATAATTTATGCAAATATATACACAGATACATGCACATACTCACATATGCACACATGAGCATACATGTATACACAGATGTGCAAATGCCTACTACCACACACATTATATGCACACTGTATACATTCATATATACATGCACATCTGTCAACTTATACACATGGGCCTATGTGTATAAGGTGTACATATGCACTTGTGCACATGGTATACACATGCACACGTGTGCATGTACATGTACAAACTAACACATATGTGCATTCAGATGCATTCATGTACATGAAGCACACACTTGTATCCAAACACACAACTTAGTCTTGCACATACATATACACACATGTTCACACACTTGTATAATTAGAGATATTCTACATTTACCACAAAAGAGTGGCCCATGGAATTACCACCTAGAATACTATACTGTGAAAGAATATAGAAAATTTCTGAAGTCACCTGAATTACCCAACTCCCCTGAAGTCATTCAGCTATAACCCACACTGAAAATGTGACGTCCACACCCCTCCTCTGATCAATCATATATTTTAAGCAGATGATTTTTTTTTTCCAGGGGGAGTGAGGTGGTTTGACTGAATGCAAACTCTGACCCTCCTCTATAAGCCTTTTTAGCAGACCACTTAAAATAAACGTCAATCCTCTTTGCATTTCTGCCTGCCTCCTGAAAGGTCGGGAGGTCGGGTATCCGGCACGCCACCCCATCCTGAATCTGGGCCAACGCCGGACCCCAGCCTAATTTTCTCGGTCTGATGGACGGCTGTTGTCTCCAACCTCCTTAACCAAAGTGAAAACGATCCTCGGTTCCTGTGTTTCGGATCTTGTGAGCAGACTAACTTCGCCAGTGCAGGGGTTGGTGTGTCTGCATGGGGAAATGCACTAATATGGATGTTTCTCTTTGTGTGTGCACCCTTGCAGTGTTGTTTACCAGGATGGATTTTATGGTGCAGACATTTATGTAAGTATTCATTAACGTGCATGCCATCCTTGTTTCCTCCCGGAGTCATTCTTTTTACAAGTTTGCTGCCGATTTCTTTAATCCGTGCTCCTCTTCCTGGACTGTAGGAAAGAGTCTTAAAGGCTTAAAGGGCAGAAGAGAAGGGCCCTGTTCACGACAGCCACCGTGCTGTCGAGTGAGTGGAGCCAACTGCTTGATTAACTTCAGAACGAATACAAACCCTCCCCAACCCCCCCCCCAAAATGGTAGCATTTCTCCCTTGTCAAATTAAAGACTCTCCTGTGGAAAGAAATTCTCTCAAGTTCTCACTATGGTCTGTGTGTTCTCAGTACCATACTTAGGGTAACAGCTGTAGTTAGCAGCTGTAGAAGGTTAAAAGATATCTTCATGGCTACTGTTTTGATATTTTCCTGCAAATACATTTATTTATCACTACAGCCCTAGAAAGATGTTTCTGCTCCCAACCCCATCTCTCTCGCTCTCTCTCCACCTCTCTCTCTCTATTGATGATTTTGGCAAGAAATGTCTCCTAACAAAATGTAGACCAACTTGAGCATTCAACCTTTTCTTTTCAACCCTTCATTCCCTCCATTTACCCCAAACAATTACCTGACTTAGCATTACTTATCAAATTTAGAAGTATTTGTTAAATGGTGTCACTTTGTTAATCTTTTCACTTTTGGAAAAGAGTAGGGTGTTTCTCATTATGGGGCCCATAATTAAACTTACTCAAGTTGATCTAGAGGTAGTTACTCTCCAGTACTATGATATTAGCATAAAATCAAACATATTATGAAAATGACTTGAAATAAACATGATTTTAAAAAAATGGGCAGTATTGGGGAAATTTTTTTAATCCTTATAATTATTTTTATTACAAGTGATCTCAAATAAATTCAGTAGAATCATATTTGTTGCTTTACAGACTAGATAACAAAGAAAAATAAAACCATATTTCTGATTAAATTGAGGCAATTTACTAGAAAATAGGAAAGACACTAGTTATTTATCTTCCCTTTGAATTTAAATTATTACAATTTTGAGACAGAGAATTAATCTCCATCAGCGATGAACTTGGGTTATATCATTATTGCATCAAGTACATTTATTATATTCTATGAGTTAGTTTTTTTTTCTTAATAAAATGAGTGAACAACCCACATGCTTTTTATTCACCCAGGGAACAACTGATTTTCTTTTGTGTGTGTATCTCCATCTACTCCTTCTCAAGTCCTCTTTTTCCAAACTTTGAGTTTATACCATTTTAAATAGAGTGGCAGGCAGGGGCTGAGCAGGGTGGAGCTCGTTCACACCCTCAGGTACCCAGTGAACCCAAACATCAGTCTACACCCTCCCCACTGTAGCCTCCGGATAATGGATGCAGACAGAGGGAGTTAGGACTTAGTTTAGAACTTTTTTTTTTAATTAGCTAAATGGAGGGGAATCAGGAAGGGATCCACAAATTGTGGGGGGGGGGGAAGAAAGAAAATCCACCAAAAATAAAACCATCTTCATCAGTATTCACCCAAAGGGGAAAAATGTGGATATTACTAAGTCTAGATAAAATCAAACATATTATTATATTCGCTGTCATTCATTGAGTGTTCCCTTCTCTGTGAAATGACAATCACATATTGAATTATTTGTAAAATGACAATAATTTATTGAATTATTAATTTGTGCTGCTTCATGTGTTGGTCAAATTGGTATCTTCTTATAGATTTCCGCATAGCAGGGAGTAGAAGCTGCCTAAAGGCATGTGCTGTAGGAGCCCACAAATAAGGCAAGAGAAAGGACTGGTCAGAGTAATGGATGGAGTATGTCTGCATTGGTTGGGACCAGTGAAAATCCAGGAGAACAAGGCAAACAGAGAGAGCCGAGGGACTCAGAAGAGAGCAAATACGCCAGCATCCAGACTAAGGTGGAAAGAGAAATTCCATTCAGGGCGAGAAGCTCCAAGAAAAGTCCCTTTGTGCTTTTGGTCCTTTAGGGGCTGTTGTTTCCCACTGGGTGAGGTTTAGATGAAGGAAATCATGTCAGTAACTTCAAGTCTGGAGTTGCCTGGTGTCTAGGTTTAGAGCTCTGTTCCTCTTGCCCTTGTCAAGCCACCCTCCTGTCCAAAAACATTCATGCATTCCTCCCATCGCTCATATTATGATGATAGGATTTTTCAGGCGACAGTTCCAAGTAGGCAAGGGGGTGACAGAAAGACTAACTGAAATATGAATTTTGGGCTTCGTTTACCCAGCACATTTCTGTCATCTTTCCAGGAAGGTAGCTTTTGGAACACTTTGCTCTGTGTAAGGCGGCAGCTTTGGAATGTGGCTGCTGGATGGTGCCTGTCTGTAGGGGACGGTGATGAACTAGGCTGCCCCATCATGGCAGCGAACCAAGGGCTCACAGATGGCCTTAAGTTGATTTAGAGGCAAGAAAGACTATGAAAAGTCCTGCACCCTAGAGTTTACAGAGCAGGATTCATCCTGGACAGAAGTATATTATCACCTCGAACATGCTTTTTCAAGCTGCTACCCCTACCTGCCTTCAGACACTGGTATGTTCTCATGACTGGAAATGTCCCCAGTGCTCTCTTTTTTTTTTTTTTTTTTTAAGAAATGACGATTCAAGAGGTTCATAAAAAGCATGCGAGGTTGTATTTTACTGAAAGGAAGTTTGTGGCTTGCTCCTTCAATCTCAGTAAAAATAATGCACAACAAATCGGTTTAGGGCAATTCTAAACATGGGACATGTGTTAGACACATCAGCCACCTCTCATAGGTTTAAACCAGTTGTTCCTCTTTAATTTTATTGGGCTGAGTTCTGGCTTTGGTTACTTTTAAGGAAGGTAAGAAGAGTCTACTCTCCAGTGCTGCCTACTCAGATCGTCCCCAGCCTTGACCATGTACCACTTTTCCTCTCTGTTGTCCAAGGTCTTTCCATCCCTCCCAGCTGGCGTTGGAGCCCTCAGGCATGTCCCAGCCCTGCCTAAGCACTTAGGATCTGAGAGACCTGCAGGATCCCTGCCCCTAGCAAGCCACAACCTCCTGTCTAGGGCTAGCTCGCCTTAAACCTTTCAGAGAAGGGAGGATTAAGGAGAGAGACAGACATGATCATAGACACCTTGAAAGTGCTGGAGACAGTAGATTTGTTCTCAGATGCCGTGAGCTAGAAACCAAGGGGAAAACCAGGGAGGCTCCTCTGGGCTGAGTGCAAGGAGAAATCATCGCACGCCGGAGCCCAGCTCTGCAGGAGAAATGCAGCCTGTCCCGTTCAGGCCACCCATCAGTGGATGCAGGGGGTTCTGGGTCAGCAAGGAGGACGACAGAGGTCACAAGCTGCACCCCTCCTACTGGAGGCTGTATTCCACAGCCACACTGCTTATGTAACTTGCATATCAAAGCTACAAGTTCGCCATTACTGCTTGGTGGTACATATTTCAATAAATTCTTTTTAATGAGAAAGTGGACCAAGTTAAAGAAAAATATATATATATATACACACATAAAGAAAAATATATATATAAATAATAGGAGAGGAGACACATGGGTATGAGAAACTGAACGTTGGAGTAGGAGGACCACGTTCCCTGGACCTGCAAAGCCATGCATTCTATTTAGGGGTGAAACTCTAGACCTCCTAAGGCCGGCACTGATCAAGTTCCTGAAAATAAGGGTAGAGGAACTGAGCTTACCCAAGATAGGTGTCTTCCCCCATGCAGGGACATAGCAGAGAATGTGGTGTTTGAGCAAAAGAATTATTGAAAATGGAGAGAAGGAAATGCTCATAAAGCTATAAAGAAGACCTGACAAACTAGAGTAAGATACAGAGTTCTGGGACCTGGGAAGTAGGGAAAAGAGGACAAGGAACAAGAAGAGAGAGAGAGAGAGAGAGAACTAATAATAGAATATAAATGCTTTCCTTGCTCCCTTTTATTCGGAAAGCCTTAAGCTTTCCAGACCCTCAGTGCAGGTGTGAGGCTACCTAGTGACCATGTCTCAATGAGGTTCCAGTGCATGTTTGCGCCACGCCTCAACCCTGTTGTAACAAGCTTCTGGTTGGCACCACAGCTCAACACAGTTATTTCTGAATTCATGTTGCTCTGCCGTCCATGGATCTTAAAACAGAGAGGTGTTCTCATTTCACTGAGGTTTGAGCTCCGGAGGGAGAAGTGTCAGTTGCTTTCCGGAACACGTAAAGCTGGAAAGCGGAAATTCTCGGAATAAAACCCCCAGGTCCTTATTCCTGAGACCGGACTTTCAGTGTGAGTCAGCCGGGGATGGGCCTTAGGCTGATCCGTCACCAGGGGGAAGGGACCGACCAGGAAGGCAAGCATCTACTGTGGGAAAGGCAAGACAGTCAGCCTTGACTGCATCACCTCGTCCCCTCCTCACCTACGAAGGAGGAATCGCATTACCCATTACCCATCACCTCCATTGTTGCTGTTTTTTTTTTCCCCCCAGAAGAGGAGACTTTTTTCAAAAAATAGGTGAAATAATTTGTCCAGAAATCTTCACTGGCATTGGGGTTTGAGCCCACGTGACCTAGCTACCGGGTTCAACCCCTAAGCCCAGAGCCAACAGAATAACATTGTTGTCCTCAGTGAGCAAACTTGAGAATCGCAGTGAAAGAAAAGAAAGGAGGAGGGTGAGAAGCGAGAGCATAATGGAGACCAAGTGGGGCAGGCAGGCCCCTGGGGATAATATCTATACTTGAAATATTCAAATAAGAGAGAGAGAGAGAGAGAGAGAGCTAGATTTACAGGCGTAGTCCCACAAACGTAGGTTTTTAACTTAAAAAGGAAGGCTAATCAGAACTAAATTGGAAAGAAAAGCCAGACTCTATTAGGAATCTATTTTATACACACACAGCTTTATAAGGCAAATCCCTAAATCTCTTAAAAGGTTCCATCCCCTCGATGTCTACCCTGGAACTGGAAAATTTCGCTTCCAGCTAGAACCGCTCACATGAAAGATTAGCTTCCTGCGAGAATAACTTTCCCACCCACAAACCGCTCCCCAGTCTGTCCCAGGGATCCTGTCCTACTGAGACCTCGTGAGTGTTGAACTTGCGTGAAGTGATGACAATGTCAAGGGATCTGGAAAAGCTTCTGGGAAGGAAAGAAGCTTTTCTAGACCCAGGTGCACACACATGTCGTTTTTCTAGTTGTGTATGTTAAAAACAGCTTTGGGACATCAATGTGATTCATTATTTCATGAGATGCAGTTGGGCTGTCTGTGGTTATTTGAAATTAAATTTTTTAAAAATGAAGGCACTGATACCATTACGGTTGCGCTGTGGTGTCATCTTCACTGCCTCAGTAATTAGGTAGCAAGGTTAAATTCTCGGGTGTTCCAGAACATCCCAAGGATGAGCTAAAGAGAGAAACATGAGATGGTTCACCTGAACTGCTGAAATATGCTTGGAAGGAAAAGAAGCCATGAAAGTATCCTTTTTCCTTCTTTAAAAATAAACACAGGTTATATCACAGATGCAGTGAGTGCAGTGGGATCCCCGCTCCCTCTTCTCGATTGATGCTCCCAGTCACAGAGATTTGTGACTAAAAACATCTGGCGGTGCCTGGTTCCTCTCAGTTTCCTGGGTCATGCTTAGGGTCTCCGTGAAATAAGAGAAGCAAACTTGTAAATGAATTGCTCTGGAATTTCTGTCTGACTTGTGCATTTTCTTTTTATTTATTTCAGTTTTGCATTGAAAACATTACATTTCTGTTTCCTTATAGAGTAGTGTACCAAGAGCCTGTGTATGGCAATAAATTGCTCCAGGTATGAAATCCCGGCTGGTGGAAAAACTCATCACTATGACTGGGGGTTTGCTGTGAAATCCTACTAACAAGACACTTCTGGGGAGGGGCGGTGTTCTCTAACGTAGAAGGAGGGAAGACTTCACTGAATTTTCCAGTTTTGATGTGAATTCTAGGACAGAGATGCCCGTCCTCAAATTCTCCCTCTTTGCTAGACGATGTGTGTTACCAAAAGGGAGGTCTGGCTTGGCTATTCATTCTCTTGGCTTAAAAATGCATCTGGATTCAGTTAATGTAAATTCAGTGAAAAGAACTCAAGGGTTTCATCGAACCAGTTGTCTGAAACATTTTTTGGTAGGTCCCTGAAGTCAACTGAGATGGTTAAACCAAAGACCTTTTATACATCCAGCAATGAGGGACAGCATAGCTAACATAACTTCCGCTGGTTTCACTGTAGTTTCTTGTAAATATATTTCACAACTCTTGCCACAGCTCTCAAACCTGTTTCTCAGTGCTTCAGCAACCCCCAAATGAACTTGTGGGAAGAAAAAACCCCAACACATCCATTGGAGGGTAGCTGGCTAAGTCTCCAAATCTGGTGTGTAATCAACATTAAAACTGTCAAATAAAATGAAAGAAGAAGGTAAAACTAAAGGCGATCAGTGGGAGCTTTATAACATGGTTTCCCTATAACCTGCAAATCTCATTTTTGTTTGGTATTAAGTCAATTAAGAAAATACAGGTGTTTTTTGTTGGGTTTTGTTTCGTGAGATTAATCAAGTTTCAATAAGAAATCTAAGATGAAAACAGTGGGTACTTGGACCTAGGAGAGGACCAAATAATTCAAATTGCTAAGATTAACTTTTATTTTCACTTTTTAAGAAAACTGGACTTCTATTGCTACACTTCAAAATCAGCTGAGATAAATTGAAAATCACCATCATGCAGATAAATTGAAAGAGTAATGATTTATATTTATGTTTCACGTTTTGCCAGTGTTCTTGTAAATGTCATTATACTGCATAAATTTTATGTATAGTTTCATCCACCTGTTTTGCACAAAGTGGGATCCTTGAATATTCGCAGAAAGCTGGGGAGGCCATGGCATATTACAGTCCTACCAACCCCGTGTCCCCACCAGCACACAAAAATCTCACCCCACTTCCTAAGCAGTTCGCCATTTGAATATTTGAACACCTTTTCCCCAAAGTGTGCTCTCGAGTTAAAAGTGTGATTTCCACTGTCAAACCAATTAGCGATGCAGTGGGGAGCCACAGTGTTCATCATTATTGCTTTACGAAGTTCCACAAATGAGGAACCAGTTTCATTTCGTTTAACTCAGCATCTCCCAAACCTATTTGGTCAGGAAACCTTTCCTTTCCCTGCCACCATGAATATCCCATCAAGCACAGTTTTGAAAATGGTTCACTGGAGCATCATTAGAGGTCCTTAATTGGTGTGTGCCCCCTGCAATGGACCTCCAGAGGTCTCGCTAACAAAGGAAGTGTTTCCAACCATGTGAGTCGGTATATTCTGGCCACATCTGATGGTGGTGGCAGGGGTGGGAGGGGGAATCCATAATGACCATTTAAGTTTTATATTCTCTGTAAGGTCACATTTGTATTTCGCTGCCCAGCATGTGAGAGTGAGTACATTTTATGAGTAGGGAGGGTAGAACCGTCCTGTGCTTGTCACCCCTCTTCTCCCTTTGGTTTGGTGGTGGGAAAAATCTAATTGTCCAAGGACGCATTGTTTTGTCCTATAATCTAGGAGGACCAGTTTCAACATGAACACGGTTTGGTGACTGCAAACGGCAGTGAGCGCTTTTTCTCAGACATTAGCCCAGAACCTTGCAGAAGCCTTGGCTATGTTCAGCGAGCTGCAAAATACAGAGCAATAAAATTGATTAGAGTCACCTGTTAGAAAGGCAAATTAAAGCAATTTGTATTTTTTTTGATCATTTTACAGTGTCTGCACACATACACCGAGTTAATACACAACTCTAGCTTTCCCCTTAAATTGACTTCATACAGAATAAATATAGCACAGGGAGACAATGCAATATGTGGATATAGAGGTATCAAGCCATCCAATCTCTTTCTTTTTCCAGTTATGATATATTTCATGGATCACTTAGACCTGGAATGTCCAGTACTGCAGCCACCAGCCCCATGTGGCTATTTACATTTAAATTCAAATGAACTCAAATTAAATAAATTAAAATTTTTGTTTGCCGTACCAGCCACATTTCAAGGTTTGCTAGACATTTAGGACAAGTGGCCACCATATTGGACAACACAGATACAGAACATCTCCATCACCATCAGGTCTACTGGAGAGCAAGGAGATCGCTGATCAAGGTCAAAATCTCTCCACTGGCTCCACAGACTTTAGCCAGCTATGACTCTGACTGTTGCATCAGAAATGCCTGTAAAACAAAGTCTTAAATAACAAAGACAAACGCCAGGACATTGACTACTTGTGCCTGCCTTGCAATGGAAACACACACTTATTTTCTCTAAACGGCCAAGTCAAATGCAAACATACAGAGGCCAGGTCCTTCCCAAAGCTTCCTTCTGCCCCTCTGTCGTGCAGAAGGACCCCCGGTGTCCCCACATCCATTTCATGTTCATGCAATAAGCATTAAGCAGTCAGTGAGGTTCCTTTTAGGTATATTCTAGTTTTTCCCACTTATCATACTTGTTACCAGCTTCCACTGATGGAAACCACTGCAGAAGCTGGGGAAGTTGAAGAGTTCAAACGAAAAGGGTTTGTCAGCAGGACGTTGCTAGCTATCTTTGTTGGGACCAAATTCATAGTCGCCAAATCACAATTGACTTGACATGGCCTTTGATTTAGAGATCTTTGCAAGAATTCTTGTTTTTCATTCTGGGAGTGGACAAAAACATAACACACGCATACACACATACACAAAGCTTCTCCACTCAAAGCTTTCAGCTGGTTGCAGCTAATGCCTCCTAGCAGTCAGCTAGCCAATGCCAGCCCCTCCCTACCTCATTAAGTTAGGATGCATAGCTGCACACCTGCGTCTTTGTGGATGCACGATGAAAGCCAAGGAGCTGGGCAGGCAGATGAAAAGCATGGCTCCAGAAATCCGGTGACCCAGTTTCCCCTCAGCCCCTCAGTCTGCATCTTGAGCTTGGTGCTGGTGTGACAACTGCTTTGGTTTTGCAACCCCTCAGCACATTTAATGAGTTTCTCCGTTCCTAATTAGAGAACATGGTGTTTGGAACACCAGGTGGTGTCTGGCTATAGACCTCTTTTTTTAACTTCCACATTGTTTTTCAAGAGAGACTTTTTTTTTTTAAACTACGGGTTCCAAATTATTGGTGATTATCTGTCAGAACGTCTTGGATGTGTCTTCTCCAGAACGATCCGAAGAACAAACTTGTTTAAGGATAAACTGCCTTTCTGGAATTGCTATGGAAGCCATAGCAAATTTACTCTGAAAGTTAGCTGCAACGGGCAGAGGGTAGAAATAAACAACCGAGACGAGTGCATCCGCATTTTAAAAGATGCTTTTTGCTGTTTCATCATTCATCAGTTTTCTGTCCTACGATTTAGTTCTTCCCCTCTATAGGGAGCCAAAAGTAACGAACTCCCCCCACTAAGGTTCTGTTAAGCCTCCCCCACCCCCCGCCCCAACAGTTATCTGACTATCGGAGATGCGCTGACTCGGTAATCTGCCCTGAATTGTCCCTTTACAGTGAGGGTGAGAAGGCTTCCCTCGGGGTCTTCTGGGACTATGCATTTCCAATTAGCACCTGAATGGTCCCTGTGTTATCGGTGGAGACTGGGTCCTGTTTGTTAATTGTGCTGAGATCACTCGACAGTGGTTGATCTATCGCTGTGGTCTGCTGAGCAAGAAGCTCTGTTATTTTCACAGTTTGATAATCAATGCTCCACTGAACACAATTCCTTTCGAAAATGCCCATTTGCTTGTCCTCTGCTTAATTGAACAATTGCAATTACTGGTACATACAACTAAATGTTAATTATTTTTCTCAGATTTTTTTTTCTCTCCTAATGATTTTATTTACAAATTGGAAGACTTTATCATATTTTCCACACCAGACAAATTCCCCATCTGAACCAGTGTGATATCTTTAGCTGAAAAGACAGAATTTTTAAGAAGGGCTCGCCATTCCTTTTTTTTTTTTTAATCATTACGTGACATTTAGAAAGCTAAAGACAGCCTTCTTTAATTGCTTTAGTGGTTGAACGACTACATATGCAAGAGACTTCTAATAAACTTTCAATCAAAGGATTCTGTTCATTTTTTTATAAATATAAAAGTAAGACAGCAGGGCATTAGCTTGACCTATATTGGATTTTTAAGGTAGTAATCAAAGACTGTTTGAATAAAATGTAACCTCTTAGCTAGTAAGTAATAGGCATAATCACTTTTGAAAATCTGGAAAGTTCAGCAAAGTATAAAAAATATTTAAATAATTCCCCATAATCCTCTCTCCAACCCCAAGTTACCATTAACATGTAGGCACATCTCTCTCGAAGAGGATCTGGGTTCTCCCTTTGGAATATGCTTACAACTGCTAACCTGTAACATCCAGCTGGGGCGGTACTCCACCCGTCTCTCCGGCGTGTTCTGTTCTTCTGCTTCGATACTAAGCTTTCATTAACCTCCACTTTAGATTGGTAGATGTGGGTAACTGCTGTTCTGGTGTGATCTCACGTGTGGGCGCCCTGAGGTGGCCTCCTCTGCATCCCTGAGTCAGATTTCTCCTTGTGTTTTAGGGTGGTTACGCTGCATACCGCTACGCCCAACCTACCCCCGCCACTGCCGCTGCCTACAGTGACAGGTAAGGGTCTTCCTTCTCGTGCTTGACAACTACTTGGAAATTAACTTAGCTGGTGGGAGACGGGATTCTCGTCGGGTCTTGGTGCAAATGCATGACTGCTGGGGAGGCAGCACCCAAACAGTCGGGTCCCACGGTGGAGGTAATCACAGGGTCACATACAGAGAGGATGCACGACGGCGCCTAGTTCACTCTAACCCTTGCCCTCTCTGCTAAGACACAAAGACCACGTTTTGTCTGTGCCTAGTTCTTTCAGATCTCAGTTCTGTGACAGCACACTTTGCACGCACAAGCTACACTCCCTGTACAACCCCCTCACGGTCTTCTCTGTGAGACACTGGTTTCATCGAACTCATAGGACGAAACCCAGGAGATGATCCTGCAGGTTTACCTCGATTTTAAGCACCCCATTTCCCTTTTTTCCATCTTTGTACACCCAGAAAAGCAGTCCCCTCATTGCATTTTTAAATCCAAAGCAAAGGAATGGGGGAAGGCGTATCTGGCATTCATAAGGAGAGCCGTTCTTTTTGGCAATGCCCGGTGACCGTTCCTACGAACATAAGCCAACATTTATGTGTAATGCACACCACATGTTAAGACTGGCAGCGGAAGGGACAGAAGTGGGTTTAAGAAACGCAGAAGTCAGAATTGGATGGCGGGGGTGAGGGGTGGGGGGTGGAGGAGCTCGATTACCCGTTACCCAGGCTTAACAGATGAGTCGGTTTCTTAAATGGCAAGCCACAGCTATTTCCGTATCGGTGCTTTGGAAAAAGAGAGTGTGCGTTTCCATATTGAATGCAAATCGTTGGCTCTGTTTTCTGAGGACATAAATGTGAATGTTTAGATGCTCTGCATGCCCAAATGTCATTGAGGGTGCTTATTTTTGGTAATGACTCCTTTCATTTAAAAATATGTTTCATGAATAAAACAGTAATGATAACAATTTGCATGTGTGGCTGAGGCATGCTGGGTCAGACAGGTAAGCAGGCGATGTCTTTGACTCGTGAAGGGGGGGGTGTCCGCAGACACTGGTCCTCCTCGCTGGCCTCTCGTGATTTAGTTCCTATCTCGGTTTGCCGTGGTGTGCTTTCTCTGCAGTCCCATTCCATTTCTCACAAGATGTGTTGTTAGCTCATTGTAGCTCCAGAATTCTTCTGAGGTATACCAAAGCAAAAGAAATTCTTGAACCCTGAAAGCTGCACTTTGAAAACCCCATGCATAGACTTGTAATCAATGGCTCTTTGGCAAGATAGAATGGAGATCTTTTGTCCGGTTGTAAGCAGGCACTATTACTATGTTCCAATAAACAGCCATAATGAGCTCTCAAGGCTGGAGGGAGTCTCCAAAGGAATCCAAACAATCGTCAACATGCAGTTCTAAATACATAAATTGTCCAGTTACCCAATGATCCGTTGCCAGAATGCAAAATATACTCTATGGAAGCTGTTATCTTCAATCCACTTTGACACTGGATTAGGAAAATTGAGAGGGTCAAAAAAGCTAATAAAAATGATGACAATCTTGAAATACTCAGGATCATCCTACAAATGAAAAGGCTTAATGCTATTAAATTTCTGCACATGGAAGATTCACAAAGTATCAATTGTAATGTGGTTCATCTACAACCCTTAATTATTTTTATGAAAATATCTCGAGATTCTAAATTCTCAAACACCCACTTTGGATATAATTATAATCATAGGAACTTTAGCCTGCTGCATAATTATATGAAACTTAAACAGATTTATTTCTTTGGATTTTCATCTCGCTTCTCAGTAGAAGTGCATCTATCCCCAAGCTGAAAAAAAAGGTTAATTACAAAGATATAATTTAAATTGCTTTCTTCTATAAGACCAATCTAGACATTTGGAAAGAAAAAAACCAATGTTTAATACTATTTTTAGATAGAATTACTTGCGAATCTGGTCATCTCCATTGGCATTCATCTAAAAATTAAGTTAAAATTTTGCTGCATTCAGGGGCACCACAGAGGCAAGTGTATGTATGAAATCTGTGATTTTAATATTATTAAGATTTCTCATTGGTGGCATATCCTACTGAAAAATTGCCCTCATTCTTGGATTGGTAAATCTTAAATAATTCTGCAATTCCCACTTTAGCATAATAGTTTCAGTTGAAGAAACCAACTAAATATACTCTTGTCTGTGTAATTGGCCTCTTGTTGTTCATTAAAGAAATTTGCCCATTAGGTCTTTTTGGTTGCTGCAGAAATTGATCACTGCTTCACTTTATTATAAGCAAGACACTGGCCACATATGGAAATGTTGCATTAAGGGAAACAAGTACCAGGTAAATTACCAGAACACAGTCTCTACAGTGATGTTTCTGGTTAGATTTGTAAAGTGTATTGATGAGATAGTGGTGCTTCCTTTTGTTTTTAGTAAGCAGGTAAAGAGAAGGAAGACCGTTTTATAGAAGACACATATTTGGGGGGAAATGTGAAATTATCAGAGTAGCTTTCGAATCGAGATTAAAGATGCCAAGTACGTAGAATTACCCCAGGGCAGTTGTGTAATCACTTCCTTTTACATTCAATCACATTGTAATTTCAGTAGTGAGAGACTCTCTTAGTTCCTACTCTTAGAAGACAGGCAGGATGAGGAGCTCCTTAATCCAAAGAAACTTCTTCAAAATAGGAAGTAAAATTAGCAGGAATAGAGAATGTTTTGGTAATGCTCACTGGCTGTCAACTTGATCAAAAGAGAAATGGCAACAAACTTTCTCTGTAATCATGAGATTCACTCTTCAGACATCTTGAAAGCGAAAGAAGTTTGGTGTCCCCAGTCGGTAGAATTTTACCTTTAATCAGCACAAATTAAGCCCTCATCAAATTAAAGATTCAGGGGCCTTAGGAAGATCTTGAACTCCAGTAACCTCAGGACTGGCCAGAAGGTCCTTGACGGCCACTTTGCAACTCTCTGCCCATCATCTTCCTGGTTAAATGATCACATGCTGATTATCTCAGAGGACCCTGAGGGTTTCTGAATGCTGACCTCCAGAATGAAGACCATCTGGTGTGGGCAGAGATTTCCCCCAAAGAAAAAGACCTGACTGGACTAGGTAATTTTATAGTCTCTTTGACGAATTTAACGGCAAGAGGCAAACATCTTTCCTTGGCACTTAGGGAACATTTGGTAAGCACCTGACCTCACCTCAGATCTTGATTTCTAATCTCACTTTGATTCGTGGAAAGCCGACTGTCCAAACTCTCAAAGAGATTGTTTTCTGAGCTTGAACCAATCAAAGCATGGCAGTGGGGCCGATGGTCATCCAGTCATTGCATGCCACTTGGTGTTGCTAATGTGTCCGTGACATGTTCTGGATTTGACAGGTCCATCATCACATTAGCTCGATGAATGGCTTGCTTGAATTAAGCCTGGGGGCAGGCTTCTCTCTCTGGATTGGCTCTTGGTTTCTTTGTGTATTATGACTTGGTCGTTGTTGCATCTTTGAGCAGCCAACCTGGGAGGCGGTCGGGGGTGGGGATGTGGGGAAGATTACTTCCTTTTCAGGGAATTATGCTACAGATATTTGGGTAAATATGTCTGATGCGTACATAGCTTTGATGAAAACGTTATCTCACCAAAAAGGGAGACATTCATCATGCTTGTCCTGCTTGCTAAACATTCTAACATCCCCTAACAACCAATGCATGAAAACGTCCCTCCACATCAGGGCGGAAGGGAGGAACTAGATTCAGACCAGCTAGAGAAGAAAGCAAGAGCGTGGTTCACTCGGAGATTTCACGACCATCCGTTTGCCCCGAGAGTTACCCTGGGCCACTCTTTTCACATAAGACAAGCAGATCCGAAAGTCAGCAGCTTTTGACATACAGTAATAGCCCCAGCTGTACAGGTGTCCCCAGACTGAGCAGAAGAGACAACAGGCAGAAGGCTTCTGATTGTTTTATTTTCTACCCTGTTTTGTTTGTTTTTTGAGGCTTTTAAGTTTCACTGGCAACATAGTATTAGACTGTACCGTATGAAATTGCTGGTTTTTTGTGACCAAAATGGTAGAATATTGGCAATTTCATATAGCTCAGCTTAACAGAACCCCAATTAAAATGCCATCATATCAACTATCTTGCTCTCTGCATTTGAGATATAGATGTATAGTCATACATATGTGTGTGTTGTGTATATATATTATTCATACACATACGTGAAAAATATGTGTGTATACAACACACACACACACACACTTTTGCCTTAGGACCTCACAAAGGACTCGTAAGAGTATCGAGATAAATCCTAACGCAGGGAGGCCAGGACTTGTCAAGTTCAGCCAGTCTCAGGCCACATGTTAGAACATCTTTTAAATGTGATATTCATAAGCTATGAATAAAAGGTTCTATTTCAGAGAGAAATAGATGAGCAGTGCTTTCTTAAAACTGAATAGGACTAAGTAGTCATGTCTTTGTGGTCATGGAGAGGTCAATCTACACCCATTTAAAATTATGTGGTGATGGAGATAGAAACATACATACTTAGATGGACGGATGGATAGATGGATGGATGCGTGGATGGATGGATGGATGGATGGGTAGAAAGATAAATAGATATATAGGTGGTTAGGTAGATGAATGGAAAGAGAGTGAGGAGAGAGGAAGGGAAGGAGGGAGAGAGGAAGAAAAAGGAAAAGAGGAAGAGAGAGGGAGAGAAAGGAAGGAAGGAAGGATGGAAAGAAGGGAGGAAGAAAGGAAGGGAGGAAGGAAGGAAAGATGGACAGACAGGAAAAGACTCTCTCTCTACTGTCTCATAATATTTCATCATAAGCTTAACTACAGAATATAGAACTAAATCTTTATGTACAACCTTAGTTTGATCTAAACTAGAAAAGTCAAGGGATTCCAGTTGATTTCCATTACTATGGGTACTCCCTATCTATTTTAGGACTTTTTACTTCCTGGACTCAGATTAAATAATGGAGAAATTCTGTCATTAAAATAAGGCTAATAATTGCATTTAAGATGATATACCATT